TCTCTCTCTCTCTCTCTCTCTCTCTCTCTCTCTCTCTCTCTCTCTCTCTCTCTCTCTGTGTGTGTGTGTGCAGTAACCCGTGTTCCGCAGCAGTCTGGGGGCCCGAAACTGCGCTCAGACGACACAGGCCAAACATGGCCTGCGCCACGCAGTGCGACCACACACTGCCCCCTGGAAAGTCAAGGGTCCAAGTCAACTGCCAGGTCAAAGGTACCGCGCCCAGGCCCTTGGTCGGAGACACTCACTTGTTGTGTGCAGGTACCGAAACAACATCAAGGCCACAGGGAATTTTGTTTCAGGCCAATCTGGGCCGTCATTTGCATCAAGATCTCGACGACTGAGGGAGGCAGCACCTGCGGTCCAGACCTCGCATCAACGCTACATAAGCGTTGACCTCTTGGCTTTGGGGGACATTCTGTCTTGTGTCAATGTTGACTTCACGCATTGACGACGACGCTAGCACGACGCTGCAACGTTAGCTGGACGCTGGCTCTACGCTAGCAAACGAGCGGAGTACGGCGACGCTATGCTGGCTTGGCATGGTGGCTAGCTTGCAATTGTCTGCTGGGCATGCTGACGTGGCAGCTGCCACGCGCCGCTGTTGACGTGGTCGCTGTCACGTATATCATTGTTGACGTGGTGAGGTTACGAGACTGGCATTGCTGTTCTATTTCAACGACATTCGGGAGGAGATCATGATTGTGGGGCGATAAGTGGATACGTACCTGGTTATCTTGAGGTCGACATTGCTGATGAGAACTGACTAACGTGCCACATGGCACATTGTGATAGAACTTCAGATGCGCGTTCAGATTATTGATTACTGGGGTGGTGATCGAGGAGGGAGCCCGAAGCAGAAGTGGGCATTGTCTTCTATTCTCTCTCTACGTCTATTTTCCCTCCACTCTCCTTCGTCTGTGTATGTTTTCCCATCCCATTGTATCTGGACACGACTATGATTATTGACAATCATCAGCAAGTTGATATTTATCGGGCTTGCATTGTTGACAAGTGTCTTCACAATCTAGGTTCATTGCAATTTGGTATCCGAGTTGTACTCCCGATGATATGACCAACAAAGACGATTCGTACGACTACGACGAAGACGCACGCGCGCGCCACGTGGTGAGGTAAGTGGGAAACAGTGCACGTCGCGATTGATATCGCACGCGTCTATAAACGCAACTCTAGACAGCGCAGTATCGTTATCCCGGCGACAACCGACGCGCACGTGATCAAGTGGTGACGCCTACATTGGAGATAGGTGTTGACGAGGACAGGGGACAGCGCTCAAGACGCACGTCAGGTGCTGACGTGGCATTGGTATCCCGACAGGGGATGTTCCAGTCAGGATCGCATTGTGATCCAGATCCCGATCGATCGCATTTACGATCGGGATACATTGCTGTTGTGGCCAGTGATTATTGAGGAACGCTGACGTGGCAGTGTTGATTCACCACTCGTCTATTGTGGTGAGGAGCTTCAGGCTGACGTGGCATTGTCTGACGTGGTGTTCCATTACCTGGTTGACGTGGCATTGTATGATTGACTGGCGACGTGCTGGTATCGCTACAGGAGATCGGGCTTTAGAGGGACTGTTGGACGACTAGCCAACGAAAGTTTGAGGCAATTACAGGTCTGTGATGCCCTTAGATGTTCTGGGCCGCACGCGCGCTACACTGATGAATCCAACGAGTTGCTTGCCTGGGTCGAAAGGCCCGGCTGACGTGGACGATCAAGGCATACGCTGCTAACGTGTACCCCCATTGATGATGATGACTGGACGAACGTGCTGACGTGGCAGACTCGATGAGCTGTTGTGTTGGCATGTCAGGGGTGACACGTGGCAGGCACGAATGTGCCTAAGTGGGAAGATACACTTCGACGACGAAGGCGGCACGGTTGAAAGACTGACATGACTACGGTGTTGGACGTCAGATCGAGTGTGTGATCACACCGGACTTCAGAAGACACAGCATCAGAAAAGAAAGACGCTAACTATTGATGTTTTGTTGTTGTTGGCAGACTTACCTGTTGTCGTAAGTTGTGTCGTGTGCCTGTGTAC